GGGGGGGGAGGGGAGAGGAGAGAGTGGAAAGGGGAGAGGAGAGAGGAGAGAGAGGAGAGAGGGACCGAGTTGGGCTGGAGAATAAAGGGTCAAAAAAGGGAGAGGCCTCTCCCCCCCCAAAGGAGCGAGCCATCTGGGGTTTCATCTGGCTAGGCACAGAAGAGAGGCTGGGGTGAGTCACACTCTCTGCCTCCTGGGCAGAAGGGCAAAGTCTGAGGCCTGCAGAGGCCACCCATCACCTGCCGGGGCTTGGGCTGTTTCCTGCCACTCCTTGCTTACCCCTGGCCTTGAATTTTAAGCTCTAGTTGCAGGGCCCCACCCCTCTGCTGGAACTTCTGGGGCCCATTGCACTTAGCCCCTTTGCAGCCTGTCTATGTTCAGTTCCACTCAGCTCACCCCAAGTTCTTCAGGTCTCAGCTCTTGAGAGTGTCAGGTTTCAGATCTGTCCCCAGATCTCCCCAGATCACACCAACAATGCCAGCCCCCCGAGAGAGACTGACAGCCTCACTATCAAACCCAAGGCAGCAGGAATGCACCTGGCTAACAGTTTTCTAAGAATACACAGTGCTCTCAGCAAACAGTACACCTCAAAAAGCTATTATGGTGGACTGGGGGGGGGGAGGCGGAGCTCACAAAGCATGCAGGGAACCCTTGGTCTGATGCCCAGCACTGCATACAACCAGGCGTGGTAGCACATGCCTGTAATTCTAGCACTCAGGGGACAGAGGCAGAACTCCACAAGTTCAAGGCTATCCTTATCTACATGTGGGGTCTGAAGTCAGGTTGGGGTACATGAGATCCTGTCTCAAAAAGACCTGAATAGAACAAAATGCTGACGATGGCCTATCTGGCCAGTGTAATTATAAGGCTTAGGTTTTTGGGGGTGGGGTGGTACTGGATAACTGAACTCCAAGCCTTAAGTGCAGAAGGCAAATAATTGTTGGTCCATTGGGCTCCACGCCAGTTCTATTTCCTTTAAAATGTTTGGGGATTCCATTTCTTTTTTTGTTTGTTTGGTTTTTTGAAAACACAAAAGGGACCGACAAGATGGGCTCAGTGAGCCAGCTTTCTGTCTTCCACATGTGCACTGGGACACACTCACACAGACACAGTAACTGTACTAAGATAAACTCATCACAAATGTTCCTCCTCTGATGGCCAGGACACGCGTGTAAGGGGAAGCATGGCCTACTCAACATGGCTTCTCCCTAGGTTTTAGGAAGGAAGACAAAAAGCACACATTGGGACTGGAGAGATGGCTCCGTGGGTTAAGAACATTTGCTGCTCATGCAGAGGACCTGAAATCAGTTCCCAGCCCCCACATGGTGGCTCACAACTCCCGAACTCCAATTCCAGGGGATCCGATGCCCTCTTCTGACCTCTTTGGGCACCAGGCACACATGTGATGCATGCACATACATGAGTGTTTGTACTCACACACAGGAAACTAAGTAAATATTACTTCCCCCCACGTCACGCATCTTACTCCTAAGATCTCTCTGCTCTGCCATGTGGCAGGAACTGAGCCGGACGCTGGGAATGCAGCAGAGAACAAGTGGACGCAGGTCCCTGCTGGGCAGAATTGGCCTCCCGTGCACACATGGCAGGTGTAGGGTGCGGTGAGTGAAGCTTCTCAGTGACAGTCACTGCTGAGAAAGACTGCAGAGGTAGGGGCCAGCGAGAGGGCGCAGCAGTTAAAGGCGCTTGCCGCCAAGCCTGACCACCTGAGTTTGAACCCTAGGACCCGCTCAGTGGAGTGAGGGAACTGACTCTGCCAAGCTGTCCTCTGACTTCCACATGTGCCGTGACAGACATGATTATGTGTGCACACAATAAATAAATAAAATAGGATAAAAATTAAAGGCATGGTGAGACACGGGAGGTCACAGGTTCTGACAAGGTGGCTAGCCCACAGGATGCAGGTGCTGGGCTGAGCCACCAATTCTTCTCCTTTACCCCTCCGGGCTCATGTGGTGGAGACAGGGCCTTCTGCATACTTCTCCTTTCTCCCTGACCCCAAACCTCATGTGTATTCCTGTATTCCAGCTACCCCAGGCTAGCCCACCTCACCAGAAGAAGTCCCTAGCCACTTCCTCACTGTCCTCCTCCTTACACTGTCCCCTTGGCCTGCCTGTCCTTCTCACCCATCCTTCCCACGCGGACTTTGCTCCTTGGGGAGCCTCAGGCCACCGTCTCTCAGTGGAGAGGATAAAGATACTCATCGCTTTGTTAGGGTCCAGAGGCATTCTGCCTTGGAGGTTGAGGAGTTGCCCACCAACCTGACCCCCTTCCTTCCTTCCTTCCTTCCTTCCTTCCTTCCTTCCTTCCTTCCTTCCTCCTTCCTTCCTTCTCTCCCCTTCCTTGTGTAGTGCTGTACGTGTGTGTATGAACGTGGGTGCACATTCATGTGCATGTGTATGGTCTGAGGTCGACAGCGGTTGTCTCCCTTGATGGCTCTCCACCTTATATATTGAGGTGAGGTCTCTCACTTGAAGCCAGAGCTCATTGATTTAGCGATCCCCTGCCTCTGCCTCCCCAGCGCTGGGATGATAGGCAGACCACCATACCCACCTGGCATTTACACGGGTGCCAAGGATCCAAGCCCTGTCTCAGGCTTACACAGCGAGTGCTTTACCCACGGAGCCCTCTCCCTTTCCCCAAGGTGCATCTCTTGTGAATACGACATAGGATGATGTGGCAGATGCCACTGCCCCCCTCAGGAGAGACAATGCCCTGATGTATATAACGGATCTATTCAAACACTGCTTTAATGTGCAAGCCAGTCCTGTGGCGAACGTTGGAAACAAACAGCACAGAGTGTGAGAAAGGATTTGCTGGGGACGAAAGTTTGAGCCACAGAGCCTAGGAGAGTCACTGGGGTAGGACTATGGATAGTTCCCCATCATCACCACTTGACCACACAACAATTACTGGTCAATTTTCCTGCATTCTGATGGGGGAAGGGTGGGGAGGAAGCTTCAGGAAGCTAGGACACTGTTCTCAGCACCCAGAGCAGTGCTGGGAAGTGCTGGGCAGAGCAGAGAAATACCTCCTGGATGAGTATGTGGTTAGGTAGGTGAGTGAGGACCTGTGCACCACACGCTGCTCCTTGTTCCCTATGCCCTGGAACTACTCCCGAGCAGGAGTCTAAAAGACACGATTCTCTCTTCCTGTCTGGACTAGCGTGTCAGGGAACCTAACAGCCGGCACATTAAGCCCTGACTCTCTGTGGTTAGAGACTACAGTCAGCCATGAGAGACAAGCCCAAGTCCTCTGCTGATGGCCTCCCATCAGAAAATGAGGGACAGAACCAACCTCAAGTGACTCACGCTTTTAATCTCGGCACTCAAGAAGCTACGGGAGGACTGTGACAAATCTGCGGCTAACTCAGGATGAGCAGCTGAGTTTCAGGCCAACCTGTGTACAGTGTGAGACCTTGTCTCAAAACAAAATCAAACAAAACCAGCTGGGTGTGGTGGCATGTAATGGCGTAAATGAATGCAAACAGATTGTAAAAATATATACAGCTTTAATGGGGAAACAGACTTACAGAACCCACGGAGACCAGGAAAGCAGAAGCAGCAGCTGGGAATACGCTCGCCAGATTTATAGGTAAACATTAGCCCGAGGTGAACACGCTCCCTAAGGCACTGGACTTATCCCTACATCTCCCCCTTTTGTCTAAATAAAACAGAACTAAACCAAATACAACCATATACAATAATAACAAATAATAAATATAACAAACAATATTGAGAACAAAAGTTTTGCTAAACATTCTATCTCAAGGAGTCTAAATAATGTAGAGAGTAACTATAATTATATAATCTTCAACTCCATCAAAGATCTGAGAAGGGAATAAATAT